TATCCCATTCAAGAACCGTGCCATGGTAGCTTCCCGATCTTCCTCCACATTAGCCCGAATCATAAGAATTTTCATCTCCTTGTAATAATCCTCTACTCTTTTCGTCACTTGATACAAACCTTGCAATTTTTGATGGATTTTCCTATAATAGTGACTCGGAACAAACCTCCTCCTCATCAACGTCTTCAACTCATTCCAAGTGCTAATTGGCCTTTCCTAACCCCTATGCTGTGACGTAGTACTTGATCCCACCAAGATATCGCGTAATCCACAAATTCAAGCACCACCAATTTTACATTTTTCCCCTCCGAACAATTATAGCACTCAAAAATCGTCTCAACCTTCCTTTCCACTCTAAATATGCTTCCGGATCGCTTCTCCCCTTAAATTGCGGAATAGTCATTTTAATACTCCCCAAATTTTCATCTACTTCATCTCCCAAGTTATTTCTACCCCGTCTTTCCATCCTATCGCCCTTATGCCTCGCTCGACCCATATCAATGTCATTTTCATCAAAATCATCCTCATCACTACAATACTCATCCCGCTTTCCTCTCCTAGATTCAAGCCTACCCGGCCCCTTAGTATTAGACATCTCCACTTGTCCCCGACTAAGATTAGCGATTGTGGTACTTATTTGCGCCATCCATTCCTCTTGCCTACCCACCTTCTCTCTAACATCACCAAGTACCCGTTTAAACCTCCGTATCATGTTCTCCAATGCATTGTTGTCATTACCGTTTCGACTCGAGTTAGAACCTTGTCTTTCCGACATCACGTCACACAAATTTATATGCCTCACAAACATATCACTCAAAAACACGCAATATGGCTTTTTCCCTCTATTAAACTCACCACTCGGCCTCTTACCGCTCAAAGTCTCCCTCCAAGCACTTCAAAGAATCAAGTGAACTAAATCAAGTGTTTTACCGGGAATTCAACAAACCGAATAATAACCAAGAACCATAAGACTCAAGGAATTGAATTATGTGGAATAGATGATTGTTTTGACAAAAATATGTGAATAGACTCAATAGTAAAGTGAAGAATTAACACAATGGAATAGCCCAAATCACACAATTCGAGAGTTGTTTTGTGTTGGTAATAAAAACAAGAAATAATAATATGAATTTTTTTATTTTTTATTTTTGTGTACTGTACAGATGAACAGTAACCATACGATGAACAGTACTTTTTTTTACCTTTTGTAGAGAAATACGATTAAACTACCAACAACTCAATGAATTGAAATTGACGATAATTTAACGAAACAAGAATTACTCAAACAATGAAGAACACAAGAACGACGAAGAAGAAATAGAAAGATTTAACAACACGAAGAACGACAATAGAAATTGGGAAGAATGAAGAAAACAAAAAAAGACTTAACAAGTAACGAAAAGATATAACCTTCAATTAATTTAGAGCCTGGCTCTGATACCAACTGATGCGAACCCCGTAGCAATGTTGACTACGAAACCCACAACGAGATTGACGAACCCCAAAAAAACCAAATTAATCCAAAAGTTTAGGATTAATCCAAAAGAAAGTCGAACAAAAAAACCCAACAAGAACGACGCTTGAAAGACCCCTTGATCACGCAATCCAAGAATTAAATTCGGTTATTGAACGCCACAAATTAACACTTGATAAGTTCGAAATTGTTCGATGAAGAACGATGAAGAGAAGACAATACGCCCCACTTTAATTCAATATCAAATATGTCAAAAGTTGTCCTCACAATTGAATGGAAACTTCTATTTATACTAAACCTAAAAATTAGGTAAAAATCATGCAAAAGTCGAGCATAATTTTCAAAGTATGGAAAAGAATCAAAAACTAACAAAATATGGAAAAATACCAAAAATAGGAAATTCGCCTAAAAATTGGCCTATGCAACCGCAACGTGCAATTCCATACGGTCGCATGGTTCAAACAAAATGCCTCCTTTGAGTTTCGATAGACCACCGTGCGACCGCGAGCGTGTATGCCTATGCGACCGTACATGCTTAAAATTTCCCTCCGGTTTCGGCCTTCGATATTAAATTAATCCAAGTTGATTCGACCTTCAACCCGAACATGAAAGTTCTCCATTTTGAGTCCCGAACATGGTGTCTTCAATTGTTGTCTTGACGAGCAATCTCATCGCCTCGTTGACTTGTCTCGTTTTCGATCGCATCATCGATCCGCCATCGACTATCAACGGATCTCGTCTCGTATTTGCCTTCGTCGGGTTCGACTCCCGAGTCATATCACTAATGAAGATAATAGGATGTCAAACCTAAACCTTTGGTGGTTAACAAGCTTTGTTAGAGCCATTCAAGTCAAGAAATAAATTTTTCGGCTCCTCGTTAGCAAGTCAGACTTTTGTTTGATTAAATATCATCAAATGAAATGTTACTGGAACCGTTTATGAGGCCTCTCCCGATAGGACGGTCTCAGTATACGATTTTCCATGCTTGAGGGAAGGAAGTCCCTGAAAATTTTTCAAGTATGATTCATTTTAAATTTTAATCATAAAGCTTTTTTGAGATTTTTGCCATAGGAAAGATATTTTGATCTCCAAACGACATGGTCTTTTATTTGTCCTTTTTCTTCCTTTTTTTGTTGCTAGAGACAAATATGTCTTTTTTTAAGAAATTTGAATTTGGAGAAGATTTCTTTTTCTGTACCTTAATTTAAAATATCGCACCTTCATTGAGAATTTGAGATTGCGTCTTAGAAATTAGAACTATTCTGGCACTTTATTATATACACTTTAAATTTTAATGAAATTTGAAGGAAAGAGAAAAATAAAAAAGAAGCTCTAAATAAATAATTTTAAATAAAATTTAATACCTTACAAGCTCAAAAATGCAAAAAGAATTTAAAGAGAGAAAAAGAAAAATCATTAATGCTACTTGACCAAAACTAGAGAAAGATTCAAAAACAAGTAACCGAGGTGGCACTACCTCAGCCATTGACCTGAATTGCAAAATTCAAATGCAATTAAAATCAAGGGCTACAGTGGTGCATCTCAGGCACCTGTTTTTGGGTCTGTCAATAGCAGAGCTCAAGAAAATACGAGTACAACATTTAAGTTAGTATTTTTTTACTTAAAAATAAACTTTACAATTATAAGTTAATTTTGTACTTTTAAATAATTTTTAAGTGAGTTTTTTTTACTTAGAAGTAACTTTTTTATATTTTGTAAGTGAATTTTTGTCTTATTAATAGTATTTTTATGTTATAAACAAATTTTTTTACATAATAGTCTTTCTTTATCTTATAACTAAAATTTTTCTTATAAGTACATTTTTAATTATAATGTAATTTTTTATTATAAATAATTTTATTAAATTTTTAATTATAATGTAATTTTTTATTATAAATAATTTTATTTAGTTAATATATTTTTATTTGTTTTGAACAAAATATATTGGTTGAGAACAATTGTTTTATAGAAGGTAAAATTAGCAAAATATATGAGAAACACCAAAATTCATTTAATTAGTGGGTTGAGAGAATCGTTCAAAATTACAATGCATTGATCTTGGGTGATTTAAAAAAAATAAAATAAAATAAAATCCAAAATCAGTACCCAAGAAACTAGCAAGCACTTTTTTTTTTTTTTTTTTCAATCCCCTCATAAATGATGTCACCCAAAATCGATCAAAACTAGGGAGCGGGGGGGGGGAACACTCCCATGCCGATGCTAAAGGCCATAGAGATTTCTTGGTTTCAAATTTCTTGTGTATCATCATTATTTGTTGTTATAACGACACAATTGTTACATAATGTTAAGATTTGCAACATTAAGCCCATGTTTGATTCTGTTAAAAATAATTTTTAATTTTTAATTTAAATTTTATCAAATTTTTTAGCTGAATCAAACATAGGCTAAAATTGAATGACGTGGTTTCGGAAAATAAAATAAAATTGAATGACTTAAATAATTGTAATTCTTAAAGGTTGAACCCCAACCTCGAGAGCCCCACCACCCCGTTCATGGAGTATCATGAGGGAGGTAAATCGTTGGATGTACTCCAATAGATCAGGGAACAAGAGCTTACCAATACATTGGTGTCCACAAAGAGTCCAATTCCATATCTCAGGAATCGAACCCTCACACTGCGACTACCTCACTCATATCCTTTACACCACTGAGTTATGTCCCGGGACAAATAATTGCAATTCATGGTTTGACATCCAGCAGGATATCACGTGGGCGTAAAAACAGGGGGCTCTATCAGAAATATGCCACGCTCTATGGGCCAATAATAAAGTTGACATTTTTGTAGTCATACAAGTAATACAATTCAATGGTAATGCTCATCCATTGGGCGAGACATAGACAAGGTGGTCCTACAAAAACTTGCAAGTTAATCAAAAATTCATTTCAAGCATACTTTGTATAAAATCTCCAATTTTTATACAGTTTTTAATTACATGTTTCATTAACTTTTATCCAAAGCTATTAAAAAATTGGTTGTTAACTAAATCAAAATGGGGACGGATATTTTAATCCTCAACCACTCATCATGATCGCACAAATAGCATTTTTGTTAAAAATCACGTTTTTGGTATCTACGTGTCAAACAACAGTGAAAGGTTAAGAATCAAAATACATCGTTTTGAAGGTTGACCGAAGGTTGCAAAATATACGGGACAAGTGGCGCAATTTTCCCGCGTTTTATGTTGAATCTTATCTTGGATTTGTATGAGAAATATGCTAAGCCTGTTTCTTGGAATATCCCTATAATATATTCACATCCAATGGGACCATATGCATTATTCAAGGGGCTTGCAAACACTGATTTTTCTCCTTTTTTTTCTTAGTACCATTCAATTTCCTGCTCTATAAATACTATGATGAACCACATTCATCTCTACATTGAATCTCAATAATTTCATCAATAATTAGATAGGAAAGGAGAATATAGAAATGGCAGCTATGGTTGATGTGTGCCTGGAAAAATTTTTAAAGCTAAGAGCAAAAGTCAGAGCCCGAAATCCGTTGATTCAAGCCGCGGCTAATGAAGTAGAAGAAAGAAAACAACGAAAGCAAGAGTCGACTTCATCATCAGCCACCCTCAAGTCACCGGCAAACGCCCTAAGGGAGGGGACGATGTCAGAAGCGACCGTGTTTTTGCTCATGGACCGGTTTGCACCATGTTGAAACTAAACGAGGAATTGATCCTCTTTTATGTACATGTAAAGAGTATATATATATGTGTATGGATCTTCAGTCAAGATCAAGAAACGAACATATTCCTGAATTTGATTGAATAAAAGAACTTTAATGGTCTCAACGACTTAATCCGTCACACTTAACAAAGGTATGAAATCATGCCATGTCCATCTTATTCGACGAATACAAGGATATGTACATTTAAATAGACTTATTCATTAATGCTGTAACGGGAGAAGAGACTACTTACAACTATTTCTGTTTGAAATTTATGTTGTGCTAGCCTCGATGCTTTCGATAGAATCTTCATTCATACTGAACGTAAGTTTCTCCATGTCCCACTTCAGGACCTCCCGACCATATTTAAAAGCGAGGTCAACGCTATCAGCTTCCAGTCCTGTAACCGGTGCAACAAACAACTTGCGCCCAGTCAGGGAATTGAAAAGCCGTTTGAACTTCACAGCGATGTAGTGGAAAGCACGTTGAGCTAAAGGCGGGTTGGTGGTGTTGTGTGGATTAAGACTGATCAGGGGACTAAAATCCTGAAACCACTCACATAGCGATAGAGGAACTTGTTCGATTTTTTCTTCCAGCAGGTCGAACTTGTTGAGTATGAGAATGAAATTCTTCTGGGCGAAGGACGGATGGGTGGCTACTCTCTCAAAAAGTTTCTTGTTCGCCAACATCTTGTTTGTGCAAATTCCAGTTGCGTCTTCGTGCAATTCATCAAAATCGGTCAAGGAAACGCAAAACATAACAAGGTTGACGTCTTCAAACATCTCCAGCCACTTGCAGTTTCCTCCGAGGCTGTTTTCGTTAACTCTAATGAGTTGGTACCTGGATGAAAACAACAAAAATGATAAGAACTCATAGCAGGTTGTTTCCTATTGGCTGGGTTAAAAAATTTCATTACATACACAGAAGAGACAGTAGAATTACTATCAGTTACTAATTGAATCTTAAGAAAGAATGACACAAACATGGAAACAACTTCAGAGATTTCACTTAAATTCTTGATCACATCATAGACCAAGCTCGAATTCTGCCAAAAGTGAGGCAACCGTTTGATAATGAATTATGCAAGAGAAGTGACTAACCTTAAAATGGGATCACTCTGATCATTAGATTCCATGTATGCATCCTGAGATAAAACGGGAAAAGAAAATTCCATGGATGCAACCCCATTGGATGAAGTGATGCCCTCCGCATACAAAATATCCATTTCTGAAGGCTCATAGTTAATTTTGGAAATCTCAACAGCCTTCAAAAAGTCGAATTAGCTTACTGGTGTTAGAAAATGTATATAGTAAGTATCAACCCGGTAAAGAGAGATCGTGAATTATAACTTACTCGATCTAAGAAATAATTTGAGACTCTTGGTAGTTTATGCAGTTCATTTCTTCGTTTGTATGAGGCTTGAAAGGCTTCGTTCTTCCATAACTGCTCAATTAATGGTGCGTACTCTCGAGTAGCGGCTGGGAAAACGGCCTCCAAGTTGCCCGAACCCATAACTTGGAGAAGCCAATCGGAGAATGCTTTCAGACTCGGACTAATGGAATAAATATTTTGTTCATCAACCTCTTCAGATATCTCTGTTCCAAACCCATAAAAAATAAAAATAAAAAAAGATTACAAATCTTGGCACACTGTTCTATTGTGCATATTATCAATTTACAATTATGCTTCTAAAAAGAACATCTAAACTATCAATTGCTCGAATCAAGTAATGATAACAGCTGACTTGTTTTTGATGGCAGAAGAATCTGCGTTTTTACCTGAAGGACCAGGTTGATCAATGTGGCGTTGTCTCCTCATTTCAACAGAATAATCTTCTTCAAATTGTTCACGACCCTCAAGAATGATACCGATGTAACTGTATAAATTTCTTTGGATCACAAATTTGATATTTTCACGCTCATCTTCTGAGAAAGGTACGTCATACAGAATTTTTGCCTGGAATCAAAAAAATAATAATAATTAAACAGATTCATTAGTCATGTGAATGATCATCAATATTCTAATCAATTATATTAGGAAAGACGAGTGAAAGTATTGTTTATTGCAAATGGAGTTAATCCCCCAATAAACAACTAACAGAATATTTTTTTTACTCTGTTTAAAACTTCAACAAATGCATTTCATTGTTTTTCAAATTAGTAACTTCAATCAGAAGGAAGAAAATATAATTCAACAACGAGCTACCTGTTTAAATATGGTACTTGTTCCCGACCGATCACCTCCGACTAGGAGAAATTTAGCTATTCTTTTCCGATCTAAGATCTTTAAGTTGACTTCATCAGTTTTATTGGCAACATCTTCGCCACCAGGATTAGAAACGTCAGAAGGAAACGGCAAAGACAGTACTTTACATACTATCTTGACTCTTGTCTGAAAAATACATGTGATTCGAAGAATTAAGACAGGATTGAGGTTAATATCACTAATACAAGGGAGAATCGACCGCCAAATTTTTACTCACCTTATCCCATAATTTCCCCATCACGTAATTCATACCTTCGAGCTGATAGGATCCATCTGCAGTAACCCAAAAATGAGGATTTCCTTCGCAGTGAATTCCTGCAACCTACAAAAATTCGACAAAATGCTGAGATTTCATTCATAGAAAACTATAAACATCAAGAAACCGTACACATCTAAAGCAAATAACCTTCAACATTCGTAGTTCTGGTTTTGTGATCTCCCGACTATTTATCAATACATTCGTGTTTCCATTGCTAGCTTCTTTCCTAATTTGTAAACCGACTGTAAGTTGGGAGGTGATAATCTGGCTCGGTTTCTCTCCTACCTGTTCAATCGAGTCAAATCATATTTGTCATTCTTTATCTTAATTTCGAATCATACATTGTTAAACTTCACAAGATAATGTAACAAGAGAATAGTCAGTTACTCACCTTGCCCCAGAATCCCGATACCTTGTCATACCAAAACCTACCCGGTCGAAGCTTCTTTGGTGGATTAGGGCAGCTTTGCAACGAAACCAACTCTTCAATAGTAAGAGGCTTTTCATTTACACACACAAGATGAGGTGGTAACTGATTTACTTCACAAGAAAGCTCGGATTTCATAATGTGTTTAATGGCTTCGTCAACGAGGATTTTCTTCAATAGTCGAGAAGTTTTTCCTAATGATCCTCGCCTCGACTCATCAATCCGATAACCAATGCAAGTAATACATTTTCTCCCCTCCGGCATTGATCCCATTGCTCTGATCACGCACTTGCTGCAATACTTAGCTCGACAGACAATGCAAACTTCCTTGTCCGCGAATCGGCTCTTCCTATGACATCTATGGCACAACCCTTTCGCGTCACCCGATACCACCGGCCTCTCCGGGAAGACTATCTGCGGTTCGGGATCACTTCCATCAGAATTTACATCACTCTGTGTTAATTCATGAAAATCCACTACCGGTGGCATAATGTGCAGGCCAGGAGCTTCAGCTTCAATTTCATTCTCACAGGCTCTAAGTTCCACTTCTTCCGATGAAGAAATTTCCGACGAATCCACCGTTGATTTACTGTAATCGTGATCTACTATTGCCTTGCATTTGTCATCTATATCCTCAACATCGGAGCTTCCTGATAATTGATTCGAATCACCGAGCCCCTCTGAAAACCCTAAAGTGCCGGAACTGCTAGAATTTTCATCCGCAATCTCTAATTTTCTAGATAGAATCTCTTCAGAACTCCTTGCTTTACCCAATTGTATAACAGAATCCGGAGATTTAATTGAAAATTTCTTCTCGGAGGGTTTACTCTTGACAATCGGCTGAATGATCGGAAGCGACAAATTATTTAAGACCTTAGCAGCCGCGGCGGTCGGAATCCGGCGAACATCGATTGGAAGTACCTGGGGAATATCATGATTTACTGGAGGGCCACTGTACTCCATGGCAAAGGAGTATTCCACACTATAATCCTCATCACAATCATTATTTCTCGATGTCGAGGTTGAACCAGGTAAAAAACTTCTCAAAACGCTAGTCATTTTAACAAAAAAACCACCTCAAATCTTGAAAAAACTAATCAAAAAACACAGTTATCACTTTTCTTGGATCATATACTTAGTACAAAACCATGATCATGAATTGTGATTGAAGAGAAAAAAAGGGAATGTATTAATAAGTGAAAATGGAAGACTTTAACAGTGAAGACTGATTCTTCGTTGAAGAAATACAATATTCAGACCCGTTAGTCTTGAGTCTTTGATCAACGCGTTTACAAGAAAATTTCGAGAGAAAGTGGTGGGAATAGAGACAGAAATTTAAGATTTAAATAATGGAGCAGGACTTGACTTCCGACAACGTAAAACTGTAGCCTTCCTGGGCCTTGTTTGGTCATATTCATGTACGATCACAAAAATACAATTAAAACAGTTAATTAGGTGCTGATATATCTGTAAAATTATTTATACATTTTCTTTGTACAAATATCATTTTTAATGTTATTAAGGCAAAGAATATGTTACTTTTATATAATACGATATTCATAACAATATACATCTCTTCACGTGGAGAAGGGCCCATTTCGAATAAATTAAAATATTGGTAGTACAATAATTTTTATTTAATTTTTTTGGTTAAATTATAAACATCAATTATCGTAGACTTGAAAATTTTCCTTCTTCTTTTCCAGTCAATCATAATGGCTTGGACTGGACTTATGGAAAGCTAAATTAATTTGAAATTATTTGAAAGCTGAGTCAGCACCATAAACACACGTTCCACCTAGGCATATAGATTGAGCTGCTTGCCAACTCATGGATCGCTCTGGTTTGTACTTAAGACGAGTTATAAGCCGAGTTCGAAAAAAATTTCACGATCCAGCTGTCAGATACATTGCCGGCTCATATTCGAGTCGTGTCCACATGAGCCAAAGGACATAGTCGAGTCTCGTCTATGGACACGATCAACACTATACAATTTCCTTCTACGCTATTTCAATGTTATTTATTTTTTATACTATTTTATTTCTAGATTTATGCAATATAAATTTTATATTTATGAGACTGACAAAAATAGTATATCAAATTGCCATAATTGAAGCCATGTAACATCATGCCATTTTATTTTATTTTTCTTCGTTACAATTGATTTTTCTAATTTTGTATTCTATCAATATTATTCATTTTTATTTAATGACCTAATTAATAAACTATTGATTAACGACCAACTTTTACCTCAAAACTAAAGGGGCAACTTGCAAAAATACCCTTAAAATTAAGAGTCTTTTGAAAAATCATATGAAATATTTTTTTAAAATAAAAAATAATGTGTCATTAAAAAGTGACGCAATATCACTTTTTTTTAATAAAAATTGTCACTTTTTAATTAAAAAAAGTGATACAATGTTACTTTTAAAAGTTAAATGTCACTTTTTTATTAAAAAATAACATACAATGTCACTTTTATTAAAAAAATATATATTGGTCCCTAAAAATGTAATAGAAATAAAGAAGGTGACGTGAAAAAAAGTGACAAACACTAAAAAAAAAGATAAAAATTTTAAAAAAGAAAAGTGACGAATTCAAAAAGTGACAAACACTCAAAAAGTAACAAAATTCGGAAAAAAGTGACAAATTTTTTTTTTTAAAAAAATGACACAAATTCAAAAAATTGACAGAAAATAAACTCTCTTTGTGCTTTGATCAGTCCATTGAGGCATTGCGCCAATTTTAAAATGTGATAATTTTTAAAAAGTGACAAATACTTAAAAAAGTAAGCAAAGTTTAAAGCAATTACAAACGCTTGAAAAAGTGACCAAAAAATAAATTTAAAAAAAAAGTAACAAACACAAATTAAAACATTGGAAAATCGCAAAAACCCACCGCTTTGTATACACATAATGCAACCCATAAAACAACCCTATCACATTACCCCTAAGGCCATCTCCAGCGCTGTATCAAATTTTGCACCAAATCTTACATCGAACTAAAATTCATCTACAACTATTGCACCAGAAGTTACACCAAATTAACGGTGTTGATCATTTTCTTCCCTTTTTATATTCTTTATAATTTATTTATTTGAAATATTACTTATTTAATTATTTTATAAATACATAAATTACTAGATAAATAATTACGTTAAATTATTAAAAATATTAAATTCATTAATAAATATAAAAAAAACATAGTTCAATTAATAAAAATACTACAACAACAAAACTCATGAATTATGTCATCAGAAAATAGTACAATACATTTCGAATTTGGATATTTCGATATTACGAAGTCGCAAAATTTTGTAATTTAATTATCGGAATTCATATGTTCTTTTCACAAATGATTGATTAATGCATTTCAAATTTTAAGTATCGTTTTATTTAAATAAAATTAGATTATTGTATGTATGTCGTTGTTTAATATATTTCGTGTTAATTTAATAAATAATCGTGTTTGTTATATTTTAAATTTTTTTCTTCTTTTAATTAGTTTATTAATTATTATTTCTTATATTAAAAATTTATTTTAAATGTAAATAATAATAATAATAATAATAATAATAATAAT